GAGCGCAGCCCAGGCAAAGGCCGGCCTCTGGGAAGACCCAGACGAGTCCTGCGCTGCTGTCCTCTCTGGGTCCTGAGGGGAAACCGAGGCCCGAGGAGGAAGGGCGCCCTGTTGGTCTCCAGCTCCGCACCCAGCACTGTCTGTTTCCCGCCCAGACCTGAGCCTGGCCCCCTGGTCCTGGAGCTCCTGGCCAGGCGGCACCGTTCCATCGAGGCAGCACCCTCTACAGAGCTGCCCCCCCTCCCAGCTCAGCAGGTGGCCTGGGCCTGGGAGGGGCATTTTCCCGTTGGCACCATGAAGCCAGTGCCCTCCCGGGAACCTGGCGGTGCTGAGCAGGGGCCAGCTACACACCGAGAGGCCAGGCGAGTCCTTTGTACCAGGAATTCGCAGCCGCCAGAGCTCACTCCCGTCCATCCACCTGAGGGGGGGGGCAGGGGCAGCTGGAGAGGCGCGGGCAGGTCCCTCTGCCAGCCCCTGGGGATCAAGCAAGAACATTGCCCCTTCCCTCCCCCCACCCCCACGTGTTTTAAATAGTCTCTCACCAGGAAGAAGGGCATCCAATGCTATTTCTGATCCTGGAAAGTGAGGAGGGCCAACGTGTTGCCATGGCAACCTGCGAGCCCCTCCCCCAGGCTGAGCCCCTCCCCCAGGCTCGGGCTGTGGGCGGTGGAGGGGCCTAGCGGGTCCTGGAAGGGCTCGGTCTGAGGGCGAGGCCACGCAGCGTCTCCCCTGAGAGCAGGTGTGGCATCATCGCCTCCTCAGACTCACCTGGCCCCTCCTGGCAGGTTTGGGGGGACGGCCCCCACCCTGGCGGGGAGACTTCAGGAGATGGGGAGAGGCGGCCCCTCCGAGAGCCTTCTTTCCTGTGGATGGGGCTGGACTGGCCCGAGGGTGGGGGGGCAGAGGGCATCGGAACGGGCACCCCGCGTCTCCAGGGCAGACGGTCCTGCTGTGTCCTCAGAACGCAGCTCTGCAAGTCCCTGGCCACCGGCCTGCTCCCCGGGCCCTGGGGAGACTCTGGGC